GTATATAATTCCGGGCTGGGGATTTAGCTCCATGGTTCTGCTACCTGCCTTGAAAGCTCAAGGACCCAAGTTTGATCCCTGGTACCAAAAAAAAAAAAAAAAAAAAAAAAAGAGTATATGATGAGTATATGATTCCATGGAATTAAGCACATTCACAATGTTGTGTAACCATCACCATTATTTGGCTCCAGAATTGTTCACCATCCCCAAATGAAACTCTATACCTGCTGAGCAGTCACTTCCTATCCACTCCCTAACCACTGGTCACTCCAACATCTATCAACCACTAATTGGTCTTCTGTCTCCGTGTTTTCCCCAAGCTGGATATTTCATATAAATAAAATTATCATTATGTGAGCTTTTTGTGCCCGTCTTTTTTTACACAGCATGTTTTTAAGGCTTATCTATGTTATGGAATCAGAATAGCCTTTTAAAGATTCAATAATCAGGATACCTGTGCAGCTGGCCACCTTATAAGGCTAGATAATATTTCTCAAGCTTCAGTATATGTTCTAAATAGATGACTAATACAGAGCCATGATTCAGGATTCAAAAGATGGGCTTGGGTGAGAAGCCTCAATTTGTCTCCACTGAAATAATGCAAAAGTTTTGTTTCCCATTCCTGCAACTTTGGGCATCTTCCAATAGGCAGTTTACATCAAGAGTATTCTAGCATGAGTTCAAATAAATTGGAAGTTGAGATTGCCACTTGACCTTTTGGGCTCCTTGTGCTATTTTAATCAACACACCAAAAAGTAGATCATTTTATTACTCTGAAATGATTGATCTTGCCCAACAGACCTTGCTTGATTCTTTCAAGCTGCTACATACTAGAAAGAAGGCATATTCATGGAATGCAGTATAAGAAACTTTTTATGGATATTATCTTGGTATTTAGCAGTCTTAGGCTCTGTTATACGAGTTAATTGGAAACTATAACAATGAAATAGTTTCTACTCCGATGACTCAGACCCTTTAGGAATGAAGATTTAGGTCACACTATAAGACAAAGAACCACTACCAGCTAAAATGTATGCTGAAGAAAACGGGAATATATAACAGGAAATGGAACAGAAAGAAGGTAATTAATAGCCATGTTACCAGTAGCAGACAATGACTGTAGTAGTTAGGAGCATCTTCTTTCATTTTGATATATTTGTGTGTATTTTAACAATGTAAGTATATTGTGTGTGTGTGTGTGTGTGTGTATTGACCATTGTTTTTCTCTCATTCTCTTAATGTGTTCACAGCTCACATTATTACAGTTCATAATTATGAGGTAGGTAGACTTACATCTTAGTATTTAAGTTTCTAAACATCAAAGTACCCAGTGGGATTCATCAAGAGGAGGAATTAATGTCACTCAAGGAACTCTTCATCCTCTTTGGGACTGGGGAGAGTGAGCTGATTTTGATTGTGTGAGAGAAAAGCCACATCTTATAAGCAGAAATATGAGTCTCCTATGGGCTTTATTTGAAAATTAAATATGAATGTGTGAAGGTCAAGGTAACAAGAGGACTAAAGTGGTTTTAACTTTGCTAAGTTAAAACTACATTTCCCAGAACTCTCTTTCCTTTATGGTTCTGGTTAAATTGGCCACCTCAGAAATGTGCAAGATTTGAAAAGTGGATGTGGAAGCTGACAGAGTAGTGAACAGCAGAGAAACAGCCTCTCCCAAGATTTGGTGTCCAGACAGTGGAATATAGCAATATGTGGAAGAGGAGGGAAATGGGTCACCTGGACCCAGCCGGGATCTGAAGCAATTCTTAATTCTAAACCAAGCCTGTGGTTTTTGTTTTTCATATTTTTCCTGGCTAACTTTGCAACTTTATATCCTTTTTTCCTATATGGTCATAAAATCAGCTTATCTAGTTAAAAAGTTTGACTATATATAGATCATGTTAAAAGTGTAGAGTTAGTGTGAATTTTTATTTTTAGTAGATGGTCATCCTATTCAAAGGTCATTTAAAAAAAAATTTTAAGTCCACTTCTGTATTTCTCTCATATAAAGGTTTCTTTTATATGAATCTTGAATCTTAGTTATTCTAAGGCACTTTTGTCTTTGTCATTTTAGGTAATAGTTTTTCTATTGTTTAGTTTGCTGTGATAATTTTACATAAAAGTTGGCTAGGCTGTAATATTCAGTTGTTTGGTCAAGCACTGTTGAAGTCATAGCTGTGAAGGTATTTCTGGATACAACTGACATTTATAACCTGTTGACATTAAGCATATTACCCTTATCAAAGTGGGTTAGTTTCATCCAGTCAATCGAAGGTCTTTAGAGCAAAGACTCAGATTTCCTGAAGAAAAAGTGATTGTGCCCCAAGACTCCAACATAGAAACCCTATCTGAGTTTTTGGCCTGTTAGTCTGCCCTACATGTTTTAGGCTCAAGACTGTACCTTCAACTCTTACTTTTCTAGCCTTACAGACTTCACACTTGCCAGGCTCAATTATAAGCCAATTCCTTAAAAATAAACCTTTCTAATATCATATATAACATTATATATTTTGTATTATGGGTTATCTAGTGAGCCCTAATACTGTACAGTGCAAGAGAGCACTGAAAACGGTACATTTTGATCTTGAGACACTACAATAGTATGGTGGGAAATGCATGTCTTTGAAATCATACACAAGAATCCAGTGGGACAAATAACTTATAATCTTGGAAGTTGATTCTTCATCTGTAGAATTGGGATAAAATTACCCAACATATGTGGCTATTGTGTTGAATAAAGTTAAACATGATATCTAGAATATCTATCACTGTTCTTGGCTCAGTAGGTTACTGAAGTGCACGGTACCTACTATGATGATGGAAGATGTACTGTTTATAGTTATCTACTTAGTGCTGAGTTTTATTAAATAATTTCATCAAAGTGAGTCTCTTAGATGCTATTAAATGTAATATGGTTATTTTACTTAGCATACACTAATATCACACTAATACCATCTTCTGGGTAGTTAAGTGTACACAGAACTCAAACATTACTTGATGTTAGTTCTTGCCACTGAACTGTGTAAGGTGTGTGACAAATGTTTCCATGGACCTTTCAATTTAGATACTAATAACTGCCTCGAGTTGTGAAAATTAATAATTATTATTCTCAACATACTCAACATAATCCCAAGTATATGGTAGATGCTCCATACATTTTCCACACATTACGGCAGTAATTATAGTTTTAAAGATAGGTGGGTCGGTTGTCCCACTAAGGAGAGCTTCATCATCTATGGAAGACAAAAGTCAATACCATCACTATGGGGGTTATATAACTTTTAATGGTGAAAGGGGAGACAAGTAAGTAAACAGTGAGGAAGTATAAGGTTTAAATAACATAAAAAAGATATCATTGAAAGACGATAAAAGATCTCTCAGGCTTTCACTCCTTGAACGCATCATGTCCACCCATCTCATTACCAGCCAGAGGCTATGCGGTACCATCAAGGTCTGCTACCTTGCCAGTGCCAGTCATCCCAAGTAAATGCAGGACTGAATACTTTGAGAACTGAGCCAAATCAACCTGTGCCTGCAGGAGAGAGGTTGTTTAGACTGAAACATTAAAAACTATCAATTCCTGATGAAAAACTGACGGTTTGGGAGAAATGTGCCAAAATGAAAACACTAATTACATATCTAGCTTAGCAAACAAACTAGAAACTCTTCACCTCTTCCACATGTAAAAATCAAAAGTTAAAAACAAAATCAACTTTTTGTTAGAAGGGGGCATGCTGCTTTTTTCCCCACCTTTGACTTTCTCATTGTTTCTTTCATTGCATGCTCCTACTTTTTTCCTCTGATGTTTTTTCCCCCACCATCCAGAGACACTCCCCCTACACACACACACACTCGGTTCTCTGCTCCTCTCCCGGGCCGCAAGCCTGAACAGCTCTGGGCCTCACCTGCCCGAGGAGCCCAGGCTACCTGCTCCACCAAGGTGCGGGCAGTGACGTAGCTGGGGGAACGGGGCTCGCGAGGTCCGCTGACGTCACTGCCGCAGCGGTCCCCAAGCCCAAGAATGAGACTTCAAGGAGGAAAAGCGGGCTGCGCCCCCAAGGTCAGCGCTGAGCGCAGCAGGGGCGCCAAAAGTTGTAGGTGTCTGTGGTCGCCCGACCGAAATGGCGCAGCTCGAGCTGACCGGACCCACCCCACACCCTCATCGCGCTCAGACGCCACAGCTCAGCGATGACTGGGATGGCCTCGAACCGCGGGGTTTTCTGCGCACGCGCCCTGGGCTGCTGAGAGCCGAAGGAGGGAGCTGCGGGGCGCGGCGGGGCAGGGGTAAAGGATGTGTGCGG